AGTAGGGAACGCAAATGTGTTCTTTTGGGGGGGGGGGGAGGGGGTTCTTGACTCATGATGACTTTGCAAGTGTTGGCAATGCTGCAATCTTTAATGCACTTATCCTTGACTAGCCCCTGTGGGGGAGGGGGGAGACACGACTGCTATTAACCTCATTCTACTGATATGCGGCAGTAGGGAGAGTTTTAACCGGGACCTGCCTGTAAGGCTGGACTCTCAGAGCAGGGTCTGCCTCTTAACTACATCTGAGAAGTGCATGGCACAAAAGGGTCCTAAATTCAGGTATGACTCTGTGAATGTTGGGTGTTAGCAAAACAGCAAAGGACCCTGAGATATAATTTGTATCTTGTGTGCCCCTTTAAACCAACAATCTACCTGCCCTACCAACCCACTAATATGAATAATCTTGGTTCTAGTCACCCTGAAGTGGAAGAATTTGCTGTTGTAGAGGGTTATCTCTTAAAGTGCCTCCTTGTTGTTTTTCCTTTCCCCCCAGACATCAGTTTCAAACTAGACGAGCAAACGGCTCACAGCAGCCTGGATCTCTTCAAAAAAGACACGGGCGTCATTTACCGCATGCTGGGAATCGACCCCACCAAAGTCCCCCAGAACCCCGAGCGATTCCGGGAGTGGGCGGTGGTGCTGGGGGACACTGCCGTGTCTGGCGGCCAGCACTACTGGGAAGTGACGGTCAAGCGCTCGCAGCAGTTCCGCATTGGCGTGGCTGATGTGGATGTCTCCAGGGACGGGTGCATTGGGCATGACGATCGCTCTTGGGTGTTTGTGTACACCCACCGCAGGTGGCACACCATGCTGGCCAACGAAACCACCCCCATCAGCAACATCCGCAACCCCGAGCGCGTGGGGTTGCTGCTGGACTACGAGGGCAGGAAACTCAGTTTGGTGGATGCGGGCAAGCCGGTGATAATCCATACCCTGGCCACAGAGTTCCAGGGGCCTGTGGTGCCTGCCTTTGCTCTCTGGGATGGGGAGCTGCTAACTCATTCTGGGCTGGAAGTGCCTAAAGACCTCTGGAACAGTTAACAGTCAGTGGCCTGGATGTCTGGACACGTCCTCCCATTGGGGGGACACCCTTCAACAATGTTTCAGTGTGAGGCAAAGAAAGGGATTTGGTCGGTCTCAGCCTGTCCAGCCTGGGGGGGACGCTCCAGGCAGCACTGCTTTCTGGGAAGCAACAGTCCCCTCTCAGCCCCAGCTAGGAACCCACTTCAGGTCTTCTGCTTGGCCAAAGCAGGGTCCTCAGGCCAAGATTCTGCTTGGTTCGTATGTGGCTCAATCCTGTTCTCCCTGGGGATCAGCAGCCCTGGGCTTGTTTTCCCTTCTCCATCTCAGCTAGTGCTCTGGAGTGTAGTGGCCTTCTTCCGCGCCCGTGCCAGACACCCTGTTGGTCCCTGCCCTTGTCCTCACCTAGCCCCCCCCAGCTGGCAGATTTGCACTTGACATGAGGCATTGCTGGAGGGAGAGAAGCATCACTGTCGTCTCCTCCTGGCTCAGGGACAGCAGGACAGTTGAGCGTAGTAGCTGTCCTGCACCTGGGTGGCTGCACCCGAACCCAGCTGGAACTCTACACGCACTTCCCCTCCTGTGTGAACAAACGAGGCCGTCACCCTTTCCGCAAGTGTTTTATAATATGCAGCATGAGCACCAGCTCCCTCCTCACCCACAGAGTCCCCCCAAGCTCTGGTCCCTTGCTCTGCTATCTACCGCTACCCAGCAGGGCAGTCCCCTGGGATCGGCAAGCAAACGAATCCTGGCACCCTGCTTAGTGCGGCCACACAGCTGCTCCTAGTGCAGGGGAGGATCCAGGCAGGAGCAACATGTTTGGGCAGGGATGTTGGGCCTGTAGCTCTCCTCCCAGCCTGCTTGGTCGGCTTCGCTGGGGAGGGGGAAGACACACCAACTCAGCCCTCACGGCAGACCTTTGCTGGCTACGAGTGTTGGTGGCCGGGGGGGGTCCTCACGCTCCCTTCCCCTCTAATAAACCAGTGAATCTTCAGCACGGCCTGTTCCCACTCTCTGTGCCGATGCGGCATGCTGTGAGGGGGCTAATAGGGAAAACGGGCGCTCCCTAATTGGCACCCAAACCTGGCTGGGTTGTTCTGGCTGGGAAACCTGCAGCGTGGCTGGGCTGCAGAGCAACAGCAGCACCAGAGGCATGGGAGGTGAAGGGGGGGGGCACTCTGGACATGGGGGGCAGGAATCTGTTTAGAACCTGTCCTGCCAGTCTACTCCTTGCCAGGGAGACTGTGCAGTGAAGGGAAGCCCTAGATTCCTTGCCCGGGGGGCCCGGTGTGCTTGTCTCAGCTGAGCTGGATAGCACTGGCCAGAGAGCATCCCCCAAATAGCTTCTGAACGAAAGCCCATCTCGGTATGAAACATCAGCCTGGGTCCCTGCAGCGGGAGGCTTAGAACCTGTCCTGCCAGTCTACTCCTTGCCAGGGAGACTGTGCAGTGAAGGGAAGCCCTAGATTCCTTGCCCGGGGGGCCCGGTGTGCTTGTCTCAGCTGAGCTGGATAGCACTGGCCAGAGAGCATCCCCCAAATAGCTTCTGAACGAAAGCCCATCTCGGTATGAAACATCAGCCTGGGTCCCTGCAGCGGGAGGCTGAGTGCCCGGAGCAGAGCTCCCTGCCGAAGGGCTCAGATGTTTCCACGCAGAGGGTCTCGTGAGACCCCTTGGGAGTCTGCCTTGCTCCCTCAGCTCTGTGCTTGCCAGCATCTCTTGGACGGATCCTGTGCCCACGTGCAGGTGGCGTGAGGCCGCCCCCCCTCCCCCCGCAACAGCTTTACTGTTTCCAGAGGTTTGAACTGGGCAGCATCCTCCAGGGAGGATCCGTCCCCAGTCCCTCCATTCCTGGGATCTGTGGGGGTTGGGTGGGAGAGATACCACCAGGCAGGGGGTGAAACAAAACACACTTGGGTTCCCCTGGAGGCTGGTCCCCCATGGCAGGCAAGAGGGGACCAGTGGCAAAGTAGCCCAGGAGCTCAGGCTGGAATGCTCTAGGATACATGCTCACGCCTTGGTGCCCCCCCCCCCCCCCCCAGCAAAGAGCTGAGCTGTTTAAAGAGCAAGCAGGGGAGTGAGGGTTTTTGACTTCCTGGTGTTACCAGCTCCTGGCGCGTGACGTGGCCCTTGCCACCCCCCCAGGCTGCCTTGTGACCGGTCCTTCACAAAGAGCTGCCCCCCACCATCTGCCGCCCAGCCCCTCGCAATGGCCAGGTGCCCTAGGAGAGATGCAGAGGCCAGAGTGAGAGCTGCGGATTTCTGGGTATCGGAGACTCCCTAACCCTGGGCTGGATATGGAGTCCCTCTGCCCCACCTACCCGACCCCATGCTCTTTGGGGAGGCAGTGAGTGAGGCTTGGGCCCTTGGCGCCTCGTGCACTGAAGTCACCCCAGTGGGAGTCCTAAGAGCTGGGCGGTGCCATTGGCTGATGAAGACTGAGCCTCAGCCCTGCTGCTGTGTGGTCACAGCAGCCCAGACCTGGAGGGAAGGGGGGGTGGGTTGCCTGGCCTTGCACAACGCTGCTCCCTGCCGGCAGCTCGCATCCCTGCCTCTCAAAGGCCTCTTGGTGAGCAACAGGTTTGTGACCAGCTTGTTCTGAAAGAGGCACCTCTGAAAGCCAGGCGTGGGAGGCCAGGGCCACTGCTGGCGCCCCTCAGTCCAGTCCACAGCCCCCTGCCAGCCCAGCCCTGCTGGTGCCTCACTCCTGACCCACAGCCCCTTGCAGCCCAGCACAGCTCACCTCAGCTCTGTTGGTGCCCCTCACTCCTGACCCCCAGCCCGGGGTTCCCCCCAGCTCTGCTGATGCCCCTCCCGGCCTGCAGCCCCTGCCAGCCCAGCCCTTGGCTCACTCCTGACTCACAGCCCCCTTCCAGCCTAGTTCAGCCGGGGGCTCCCCGAGCCCTGCCGGTGCCCCTCCCTCCCCAAAGTCCCCCTGCCACCAGGGCTTCCCCAGCTCTGCCAGTGCCCCTCACTCCCAGCCCACAGCCTCTGCCATCCCAGCTAAGGATGTAAAAATCCCATTTAATTTACCTGGTTAAAAGGAGGGATGGGCTGTAGGGGCCCCCCCAACAGACTCCACCCCGGCCCTATCCACGCCAGTTAACTAGAACTGGTAAGAATCACCAGTTAACCTTTCACATCTCTAATCCCAGCTCCCTGGTCAGTGGGGTCCATCACCTGTTCAGTTCACTTCCTCTGGGACACCTGGTATTGGCCACTGTTGGCAGACAGGATACTGGGCTGGACGGACCTTTGGTCTGACCCAGTGTGACCGTTCCTATGTTCACTTCTCCAGCTGGGGCCACCCCAGTGTGGCGTAGAGCAGGACAATTCCCTCTTGTGTCACACATGCACCATCCTGGTAATATCAGCCCAGAATGATATCCGCTTCCCTTGCCGCTGCCTCGCATTGCTGGCTCGTACCCAGCTTGGGCTCCGCTGTAACCCTTTGGGGTGCTACCACCAGCAGTTCCCCATTGTGCAGCTGTGCGTTTCAGGCCAAGTCTCTTGATTTGTCAGAGTTGCTTTGAATTCTAACCCTGCCCTCCAAAGAGCTTGCAACCCCTCGCTGCTTGCAGGCATCCATACATTTCATAGGCATCCTCTCCTCTCTGTTATCTGAGTCATTAATGAAAATATTGAATGGTACTAGGCCTGAGAGGGACTGACCCCTGGGGGGTCCCAGTAGATACACCCTTCCAGGTTGATAGCAAGCCATTGGTAACTACCCCCGAGTACAGCCTTTCAGCCAGTTGTGAGCCCACCTAGTCATTTAATGCAGATGGGACTGCCCGAGTTTGCTTACGAGAACATGGGACTGTGCCAAAACCTTACTAAAATCAAGCTCGATCACCAATGTTCCCTCTAAGTTTTTCCCTCATCCATGTGTGAAATAAATTTTGCTATGTACATGGATGCGTGTGCACCACCAGGAGAAACACCTGCTGCCAGCAGTAGATGATGCAGGCAGTGTTCCCTGCAAGCTGAGCGTTTGGATGGCCACCCAGGAGAGATTCAGGTGCCGCCCAGCTAATTAGCAGAGCACCTACAGCATGTGTTTCTGTTGGTGGTACGCAGCCGCACGTGCCTCGGTACAGAGAGCAAAATTTATTCTGCCCATGGATGGAAAAAGTTAGAGGGAACCCTGGCTGTGGGTGCTCTGCAAGTCTGCCGGGCGGAATTTGAATCTCTCCTGGGTGTCCGCCTAAGCACTCCGCTTAGAGGGAACATTGTATCACATCTACTGCTCCCCCTCCCCATTCACTAGGCCAGGAATCCTGTCAATGAGGCTGGTTTGGCATGGACTGATGATGACAAATCCATGCCGGTTATTCCTTAGATCCATTAACCCCTGCGTGCTTCGAAACAGCTGGGTTAATCTCAAAGTTAAGCTGCCTGTCTAAAATTCCACAGGTCCCCCTTTGTTTTCCTTTTTCAAAGGTGGTAGATGTGTTTGCCCGTCTCCAGTCCTCTGGGATCTCCCCCGTCCGCCAGTTTGCTAAGACAATTTCATCAGGCCCTGCCAACTTGAATACATTGAACTCATCTAAATATTCCGTATCTTGTGCTTTCCCTATGCGGACTTGTTATTCATTCTATTGCGCATCTGGCCTCTATTCTTTAGTGAGGGCTGAAGCGAAGGGTGCATTAAACGCCTCCCCGTTCTTGAAGGCATTCGTTATTCTCTTCCCCGCTCAATAGAAGACCTCCACTTTCCTTCGTCTTGCTCCCGATATATTTAAAGAACCACTTACCGCCTTTGAGTGCCTGCCAGGTGTAACTTGTTTGGCCTTTTCCTGCAGGCTTGGCTAGTCCTTCCTGCGCCTCCTTTACAACTAGTCTGTGTTTCCACTTTTGGTAGGGTGCTTTTTTGATTTTCAACTCATCAGAGCCACGGTGGCCTCGTCCTATTCCTCCCATGGCAGCAGGTGACTCTGTTGCGCCTTGGATATTGTCTTGAGAAACGGACGACGCTCCTAAACGTCTTTATCCCTCCGATTTTCTTCCTGTGTCTGGTGATATACACAGGGGGGAGGGGGGGAGATGGCACACAGGCTCCGGGTACACAGGGCAGAGTGGGGGGTTGGCCCCGTCTCTGTGTGCGTGCCATCACATGGAGTCATATTGGTATATGGTTAGTGGGCACTGATGTGAGCCCCAGAAAGAGAAAGTGACCCTGAATGTTGAGGGCCAGGGATTAAACTGACTTGGGGGGAGAAACCCCCCTGCACAGCACCTTGCAGCTAGTCTCCTGGACACCTTGAACCCATCCCAGTGCACCCCCCAACTGATCCTTCTGTTGCGGCTGGGAGCTGTTCATTGCCTCCTCGCACTTTGGGCAGTGCCCATTGGCATGGGAAATCAGGGTGCAGGGGGTGCTGTAGCACCCCAGGGTTTTGGGCATCCCAGCTGCACACCCCTGCCACCTGGGGTCCTATCCGCCCACCAGGCCCAGAGCCTGCTCAGCTGCTGGCCCCAGTTCGAGGGGGTTCAGTGCAGGCAGGGGAGGAAGAGGGGTGCAGCTCGGCACCCCCACTCCAAAACTCTTTCAGCGCCACTGGCTGTGCATGCCCAGGAGAGGGGATCCCCCCCTCAGCCTGGACCAGACTGCATGGGGGGGGGAGGCAGCCCCAGCCAGGCCTCCTGCCCCTTTAAGAGAGTTGGGCGCAGCCGCGTGTCAATGGCCCTGGGAAGGGGGGGAGATTGACACATGTTGTGGTCCAATAGGAAACAGAGGGAGGGACTCCATGACACCCCCCCTCCTTCCGGTCTCCTTGTCAATCACATGGGGGAGCTGCCATGGAGCTAAGATGTTTGGGGGAGGGGCCGTGCTGGGGGTATCCTTCCCCGGGGGGCAGTGTGCCCCCCACTTGCTCTGCCCCACTGAATCTGCCTTGCTGGGGGGGGGGGGGCGTGTGCGGGGGGGT